AAAGTTATTTAATGTCAGGCAATTTGACAAAGCAGACAGAGAGGAAGACCAACGAAGCCACTAGTTATCACACAACATGAGTTCAAATACACATCACAAAATTCAATTATTAAACAGTGGCTTAAGCTGTAAGTAATTTTGTCTGTAATTTAATTTATATAGAAGACAACCTTCAACAAGGGAAAAGCCTGACTGATTCACCACGGTGCAAATGTCTTTTATTCTATAATGAACAAAGCTGCATTTCATAAATTTCAGGACTACTTTAATCCAATACATCACAGCAATTCAGTTTAAATCCACTGAACTTGAGGTGCTTAAACTGCCAGCCCACATGCTGCCTGTCAGGGCACTTGACTCAGCCCATAACCTTCCCATCTTTTTGAAAAGTTCTTGCAGCTATCCTCTCCCCAGTCAAATATATTTTTCTATCCACATATGGCATGTAATAGGGCTGGGGCTGCAGAACCTTGAGAAAGGTAAGACAGAGATGATGACATAACATGATCTGCCATTGAGGAACCTGGAGAGAGAACGACATCAGTACGAGATGAGATTCTGCATGTTTGGGATTGGAATGCCAAGCACACAAAGGAAGCAAGTTGCTATTCCTTGAATAGACACTTAATGCACTCACTATAGGACAACAAGAAGAACAGAATTTCAGAAATTCAGAAAGCTCAGCATTTTACTACATGATAATAAATAAATAAATAAATAAAGCAGTACCTGAAACAACGCCAGCTAATGGCAAATTTCATTTTTTCGTCTCTTAAATATCCCTCAACCCTGTTACTCTCCTGTTGCAAGTAGTCTCTTACTAAAACATCAGATATTGATAAGAAGTTCAGCATAAGGTTTACAATAAACCCTAAATAGAAGGTGGGAGTCAGAAGGCTTCAACCTTCAGATATGTGACATCAGAAAGAGTCACATATGCTTTGATTACAGAGATAAATACTCAAGAAAAGTTTTCATGCAGATTAAGTTACAAACTATATTGTGTTGACAACTGATGAAGCTGCCAGCTCATTCCTGCCAATTAGATTTTACTTAATGCTAGCTGCATTACCACCAACCTTCTGAAATGATCTTAATCAAAAGATCAGAAGAGTAAAAGAAAAGAAATAAAGTGTTATGAAGATAAACCTACAAAGACTTTAATAACACAAATCATATTCTGGTCACTAGAACTCATCAAGTTTTTTAGTGGCCAACTAATCCTTTAAAAAAAAAAAAAAAGAAATAGAAAGACATGACGACTATCTGCCGATTCACCTCTGAACATTTCAGAGCATCCATTTCAGCAGCATCCAGCTGCTAAATATTTAAATTTGCTTTACAGTCTGTACAAAAATTCCCAGACTGGGTAGGTGCAATGACTATGTATACTTGGGCCCCAACTTTCAAACCAAATTCTAGGAGCAGTGCACTGTAGAAACCTGTAAATAGAAACCTGTTAGACCTTCATTCCTTCTGGAACTGGACCAGTTCATAAAGACCTGGAGAAGGTTTAATGATATATTAAACCTATTAAAAGTATAAGCTCTTTTAAAAAACAAATATAAATTATATACAGAAAAAAGTATTTCTACATGCTTTAAGAAGCATAGTTTTTTAAAATATATTTTAAATCTTGAAGGTCTCTAAGGTCTTGAATTCTTTAAGGTTTCTCAAAACTTTAATGTAGGTGATTTGTAGTACTGTAGCTAGTGCTTTTTAATAAACTTTGCATACCTCTTGCTCACACTATTGATTGATTTCTGTAGAATTAGATAGTTATGTCATTAAAGAACACAAGACACCTTTTAAAGCACAAGTCTTGAGAACGTCTTTTTCTTGTTTGTTTCATAAACAACTACATTGGGGTGGGGAAAAAGGTATATGTATAGAACAGAGTAGGAAGTAAAAAATCTTGCACTTACCAATGCCGTGAGCTTTCAGTGCTTCTTCAACCTAGCTTTGCAAGTCATCAACCAACAAGGAAGAAAGACAGACACTTAAGATTCAAAAAATAACAATGCAAACATTTTATTATTTATAAAATATGTTAGATTAACACCAACACCACAGATTATCTCAGGTGAATAGATAATTACATGAAACTTGAAAGAGATCTACATCTTTTTTCCTATATTGTCTATGATTTAAATAATTCCATTCTGCATTTATTAACAGCCATGTATTCTCATGTATTGTCTTTACTAATCCAGAATACGAGACACAAAGTTGTAACATTTTCTGATAGGACTAATGTACAAAACTAAGTTCTACTTTATTGCAGTGAACAAAATAGTAAAGCAACAAAACTAGCTAAATATCTGAAACTGCACATTTTAACACTACATTAAAAATTAGATTTCAAACCCATATTCTGTAAAATCTGACAAAAGGTACATTCAAAAACTGATCTTACCGTCTTGTGTTTGAATCCAAGGAAGTGAGTCTGCAAGTTTAATGCAGAAGCACACCAGATTTTGCAAATCTAGGTTAAAGAGAAAAAGTATTTCTAGCATTGCACACAAACCAACAGAAAAAAATACCACCGATATCAAAACAAAACAAATCTCCTACTGAAATGTCAGTATATGTAAGTTCTACAAAAGTACTGTTCCTCCAAAGACAAACTAAAGCAGCTTCTAGATCTTTTCTTTATGAGGCTCCAAGACCACCCAAATACCATGTAATGGGAAGGAATCTCCACATCACAGAAAAATTTCAGATGTCTCCAGAATCCTGCAGCTATCTCATAGCATATTTTTGTGTGAATAAGTAAAGACAGATCCAAGATCTTCCTCACAAACTATTAACCAAGTCTGAACTAGAGGCAAGGCATAATTGTAACAAGCCAGTACACCTGTCTAAGATGAGCCAGTTGTCCTCAGTGCTGCATCCAGACTAACACACTCTCATCAGTTTGGGGCCTGCCTCACTCATGTGCATATGAAGTTTTCCAGTCACAGCTGGTTTATGCCTGGGCCGGTTCAGAACAGGAGCAGATTAGGTTTAAATTCACGTGAATGAACAAAGGCAGTCCAAATATTTTCTTCTCCTCTAAAAAACCCAAGATGCTTAAAAACAACAGCAATAAACCTGAGAACCAGATAAATTAGAAATTTTTTTTTCTGAACAGGAGCTGCAGTTTAATCTTCCACTTTAAAAGAATGCCTTTATTTAGAAACATAATATTATTAAAATTACTCATTTTAATTAGTTAGTTCCTGACATGCATCCAAGTCAAACATGACAAAGACAGCAAAATAGGTTCAACTCCAATGCTATTTATTTATTTTGCTTGAGAGAAAAAAAAAAGTTCACACTTGGTTTATGCCAACTTTGTTCTACCAAAATTATTTCGTATTATTTACAATTTTCAGAAAGGAATACTTACATTGCAGTAGAAAGGGTTTACTTGCTTCTTTATCTCAGCTTCAGGGTCCATATTTGATCTTTAGATGATAAGGAAAATCTAGGCAAATTGCAAAAATATTGCAAACTATTATTTTAGCCTCACAATATCATTCATATTCTTGTTCCACCTATTTAAAGGTCATCCATATTCCAATTTTCATTTGTGCCTCACCTTCAGTTACATTCAACCTTTAAATCTCCAGGCTAATAATCATGTTTTTAACTTGAGATCTAAAGTACAGCGTGGAAAGAAACAATTCTTCTCCAAGAGTTTCCCTCAGGAAACACAAAGCCACTAGAAGATTACGCACACCCCGAAACAAAACTAATCCGAATTTTTTTCAAGCTTCCCCCTTCTTCCCGGGACTGAAATGCACGCATGGGCTGGGACGGACGACACACAGCGGCAACAGCCAGGCATGCACAAAGCAAAGTATGCCTTTGTAACAAGAACACGACGGGGTTTTGTGAAGAAAAGCACACTCCCACTCCGGACCGCGGCGGTGAGGTGGGAGGCGGGGCGAACCTACAAGCCCTACATGAACAGAGGCGAGAGCGCGAGCCAGCCCCCGGGCCGCCCGCGGAGCTGACCCAGCACGACGCGGGGAAGCGGCCTTGCCGACACTTCCAGCTCTGCCGGAAAGGGGACGGACACCTGCTCCAGCAAGGAGCCGGGGAAACCTCCGGGCCGTCACTGCACCCAACTTACCCCAGGCC